GCGGCCCACGCCCGGCTCGCAGCGCCACGCGGCGCGGGCCGGGCCAGCCCCTAGAGCACCTGCTTTGGGCGTGGCCCCCACTGAAGGAGCGCTTCGATTGGCCATGGGCTGGAAAGAGGCGTGGCCTACTCAGACCACGCCCTTCCGCGCCTGGAGTACTTAAGGGAGCTGGCGGCAGCTTTTCCACTCAGAGCGGACCTGCACGGCCTCGCGGGTGGAGGCTCCTGCTGTCCCAGCACAACCCGGCGACCCCGGCGACCCCGGCTGCCTCGGCCACCATGCCGCGCTCCTTTCTCGTCAGGAAGTCCGCCGCCTCCCGCCGGAGGCCCAACTATAGCGAGCTGCACGACTCTTCTCCAGGTGAGCGGCTGGGATGCCGGACCGCGGGGCGACTGGTCGACTGACGAGGGCTGCGCGAAGGTGTTTTGGGGCGAAGGGAAATTGGGGACCAAGTCGAGGCAAAGGACGTGGCGTAGGGAAAAGGGGGTAGGGGCAGGTGAGTCAGGGCGGCTGAGGAGGGGCTTTTCGAGGGCTGGGGTCTGGGCTGAGCTCGCTGCTGCCTCCGGAGAGAGGCGCGGGAGCCCCGAATGTGGAAATGATAGGAGGCTTATCCTGAGGGACGCCGCGGAGGCTGGGAAGAGTCCGGAGTCCAGAGGATTTGGGGGAGGGGTTGGGAGCCAAGATGTGTATGAGGAGGGGGATTGGGAAGGGGTGGGGCCTGGTGAGTTGAGGAGATTAGGGGCTGGGGCCTTGCCTCTAGCTGGAAAGGGGAGACTCAGGCGGAAGGAGACCTAGGAATGACTCTGTTGAGTTGCGACTGGGACATGGGGGTCCCTGTAAAAGCTGGAGGTCGGTGGGAGAGCCAGGTCATCTGGGTGAGGACGGGGCTCTGCCAGGGCAAGAACCTGTCAAACTCCCATCAGAAGTGTCCGTTCTCCTCGCAGAGACTGGGTGTCACTGTTTGCTGACTGACTGAACCATCTAACGTCTGGCCCTCCCTGCCCTTTTCTGTGTCCCGCAGAGTTCACCTTCCAGCAGCCCTACGACCAGGCCCACCTGCTGGCAGCCATCCCTCCTCCAGAGGTCCTCAACCCCACCGCCTCACTGCCCACGCTCATCTGGGACTCTCTCCTAGCACCCCAAGCCCAGCCCATCGGCTGGGCCTCCCTTCTGCCCCAGGAGATCCCCAAAGCTGTGGAGCTGACCTCCCTGTCGGATGAAGACAGTGGGAAAGGCTCCCAGCCCCCCAGCCCGCCCTCACCAACTCCTTCGTCCTTCTCTTCCACCTCAGCCTCCTCCCTGGAGGCCGAGGGTTATGCTGCCTTCCCTGGCTTGGGCCAGTTGCCCAAGCAGCTGGCCGGGCTCTCTGTGGTCAAGGACCCCCAGTCTCGAAAGGCCTTCAATTGCAAATACTGCAACAAGGAATACATCAGCCTGGGTGCCCTGAAGATGCACATCCGCAGCCACACGCTGCCCTGCGTCTGTGATACCTGCGGGAAGGCCTTCTCCAGGCCCTGGCTGCTGCAGGGCCACGTCCGCACCCACACAGGTGAGTTCCCCCAGCCCCTGCGTTCTGCTCCCAGCTCACGGGTCTCGCGCTCTCTCGGAAATGTTTGGTTGGAACATGCGTTCATTCGTTGGCTAAGCAGATGGGCCAAGTCGGTAACTTTACGAGTTCCTCTGCAGTTTCGGTTTCTCAGCCAAATGGATTGGAGTTGGATATGGGAAAGGTGCAACTAACACCTTGCTGTCGGGGCCAGGTGTGAAGGGGCCTCGCTGTTCCTGGGGCCTCCCTCGACCCACCTTCCCCCACCCCCACCCCCAGCAGACAGGATGTTGTCAGACCCCCCACTTGGCTCTGAATCTTGCTTGGAGGTTTCTCCCTCTAACCTAAGACTGATGTTTTACCTCTGCGCCTCAGTTTCCTCCTCTGTAAAATGATCCCGAGGGCACCTTGTGGGGTTTCTGTGCATACAGAGAACACCCCACATTGCTTGGCACTTGATAAGCACTCACAGAAAATAGTTGGCATCCTGCTTCCAGTGCTGTGGGGTCTTAGACAACTGACTGATGCTCTCTGAGTATAGGGAGTCTGATAGCATAATTATTAGATTAGGGTGGACTGTGATGGGATTTTACAAGATGGTCCTCAAGATCAGTGGCCCTTTAATCTGCTTTGTCATAATCTATTCTCATGATGGTGGTTGATCTGCACTCCACACCCCCTGTGGGGAGCAGACCGCTCAGGCCAGTCTCACAGGTGCTGGCAGGAAACAGCCTTGTCTTGGTTTTCAGCAGCCCTGGGCTCATAGAAGCTGTGACAGGAGGCTCTGCCACCCTTCAGCCTTCTGGAAATGGGGAAGGTATCTGCGATCTTGTTAGAACTGGATCACGGCGGCCCTCTCCTTGGAGAGGGATTGCCTGTTGAGGGAGGAGGTTCAGAGGTCATGACAGTCTCGGCTTTGGGGTCAGGCTGGCAGTGGTGTCTCAGTTCTGGCCCTGTCGGGGCCCGACATTTTGCCAACGTTCTTGTGTGGCCTGTGAAGTGCTCCTGAACTTCGGGGCTGGTGCCTGGGTCTCTCACTTTGTGCATGGCTGTGGCTTTAAAGGAAAACCCAACTGCCCGGCCCCTGTAATGGGTGCCTGCCCCACTGATGAGGGCCCTATTTGCAGGAGGCACAGCCCTGGGCACCCTGCCCCTGGGCTCCTACCCCAGCTTCTACCCTCCCATGGGGATATTTTCATGTAAAGGCATGGCTCAGACACAAAAAGCCTGTTGAAATGCACCAGTGCCGACCTCATGGACTCCCATTGTGCGCCTTAATGGTGGGCCCGCTGGGTGGGGGCGGGGGGCGGAGCAGGTGCATGGGGCAGTGGTGCCCAGCACCTGTTCCGGCCGCAGCTGCTGGCCCACAGCGTGTCAGGCCCCTTTAATCCGGGGGATATCGCATGTACAGTGCCCCCCTCGGCGGCCTTTGTCCCCGCCGGCCTGGTGCCGATTTCACACTCGCCAGGAGCACCATGAAGACGTCTGGGCGGGAGGTCTGAGGGGTGGAGGTCTGTGCCCCTGGCTTGTGTGCACAGACAGGCCTGCACCCCGGCACCCCAGCCCTAGTCCCCCCTTGGTTCAGGTGTACATGCAAGCACACAAACATCAGAATAACCTCTCAGTGAGGTGTGGGAGGCGGGGCCGGCCGAGCTGCCCTCACCTGTGGTAACAGGCAATTCCACCAACAGCCTGGGAGGAAGGTGCCTCACAACCCCCCACCTCACAGATGATGAAACCATGGTTGGAGAGAAAGTTCTTTCCTCGAGTCACAGCCCAGAGGTCCAGGAGGGAGAAGGTGGTGGCTTTCAGGGCCTGGAGACCCCAGGTTTCCCTCCCCTTTACAGGCCCTGGACTGGGCGCCCATAGTTGTCCAGGGAGTAGATGAGTGGGGAAGAGCTGCACCTGGACCTTGTGGTGTGCAGTCATCAAACCCTTCAGAACTGTAGGCAGAGGGCGCTCACAAATTCCAGGACGCACATCGCTCGGTGACCCCCAGCCTCTGGCTCTGTCCCCCTTGGTGGTCCGGCCTGAGGCCATGGAGAGCGTCTCACAGGCACCCGGCTGGGACCTCCCTGGGCCTGCCCTCCCGTGTGCCTGGCAGGTGTCCCTGGGCACCCGGCACACCAGTGGGGTCCATTTGTTCCCAGCCTTCTAAATTCCAGCACTGAGATTTAGGCATAGGCTCTGGCCTTGGGGCAGTCAGCCTGGGGGTGGGTGGATAGAAGTGTATTTGGGGGGGACAGTATTATAGAATAGTGCCTGCATGTAGTAGCAGCTCGAGGATTTGGGTAAGTCAGTATTGGACTTTTTAGGAAGCGCTGAAATAAAATACAACCTTGTCAGTGCCTTTTGGAAGATGAACCACATCCCCTGAGTTGGGGCAGGCATGGGAAACATGCATGGGGTTATCTGCTGACTCGGGGGTCGGGCTTTTGAGGCCTTTAACAAAAGCAGACTCACTCATTCTGCAAACATTAATTGAGCACTTACTGCGTACCCAGTCTGATGTGCTGCACAGCCAGTTCCCCGGGCAGGTAGTTGGTTGGGGGGGGTGGGGGTAGGAGGGGCTTAAACGTGCCACAAGGTAACAAGTTTTTGTAGTTTCCTGGGGTCCTTGGGCTGGGGGCTTGGAATGGCCCCTGGGGCCCTCCCATGGGACTCAGCATCTGATTGAGGGATAGACAAGACTTGAAGTTCCTCTGGGTGTGAGCAGCAATTTGTGATGGGAAGCTGCCGTCCATGGGCCTCACTGCAGGGGGAGGGGCAGGGAGCTCGTAAGGCTGAAGCCGGGTTGGCCCCAGACCAAGTCAGTCCAGGAGTGGGACTGACACCCAGCAGACCCCTCCTCCCCCGCCAGAGAGGCAGCCGTTCAGTGTCTAAAATCAGGACCCTGGTTCCTGCTGGGTGACGCTGAGGGTGCTGCTTAGCTTCTCTGCCTCCTTTTGTCCTCTCAAGCTGAGGATGAGGGGTGAAGGAGGGCGAGAGGGGTGCGCCTCACTCCCTGGCATCGGTGATCGTGTCTCCATCGCGGTCATCGACATTTGCCATTGAGCTCAGTGCCGCCATGGAGTGGAATACTGGTTCTGCCCCCTCACCGGCCAGCCCTACTTCACAGATGGGCAGAGGAGGGAGGCCCTGCGGGGCAGACGCGCTCCGGGTCACATGGTGAAGGGCAGTAGGACTCCCAGTCAGCGCCAGGCCATGGACACTGGGCCTGTGTTTAGTTGGGTCTGTGTGTTTGTGCTGGCCAAGGTTCTGGTCGGGGCTGGGGGAGCTGGGCTCCAGAGGAGGGTGGGGTGCAGCTTGTGACCTGGCAGCCACACATTCTCACTCGTCCCCCCAGGTGAGAAGCCCTTCTCCTGCTCCCACTGCAGCCGCGCCTTCGCCGACCGCTCCAACCTGCGGGCCCACCTGCAGACCCACTCGGACGTGAAGAAGTACCAGTGCCAGGCGTGCTCCCGGACCTTCTCCCGCATGTCCCTGCTCCACAAACACCAGGAGTCGGGCTGCTCGGGGGGTCCCCGCTGACCCTTTGGGGCTCCTCCCACCTCTACAGAACCCTCACCAGCGGCCTCCCCCCACTCCGGAAGGAAGGGACCCCGCATCCTTCTCATGGCCACCAAATTTCCTTCAGAGCTCCCGCTTCTGGCTGTGTTGACCCCACAGGACTCTGAGGACCATTTTCCAGGTCCTTCTCTCTTCTTGGGGTGCCTCAGAGGGCTGAGAAAGAGGCCCTCAATGGACAGCTGACGGCGTGTGCCTTGCTGCAGAGACCCCTCCTGGCACCCACCGCTCCGAAACATTCTTGAGTTGGGGTCTGTGTATCCCAAGTTTGGATATAGCTGCTTTCGGCTACAGGACAAAAGCTGACAGACTAGGAGGCTCCCGTCCCACTCAGGGGACCCCACTTCCCCCCACCCAGGAACTCTCAGGCCACCCCTCCAGGAGGTGACTGACTATGCAATAATCCACCCCCAGGTGCCAGTGGAGTGGGGGCGGCCACTGACACAGGACATGTCTAGACCCCGGGATGCCCCGGCCCGGGCCGCCATCTCAGCCTCCTGTTTGTCTGGGTGGCACCTGTTTCACGGGCAATTTAACAACGTCTCAAAAGGGACTGTGAGTAATTGCTGTCACTTGTCAGGGGCCCGGGTGGGGCGCTTTGGCCAGACCAATGTGTCTCCCAGAACTATTTCGGGGCCCTGACAGGTGAGCCTGGGAAGATGTTTACACTTTTAAAGGTACACTGGTATTTATATTGCAAGCAACATTTTGTACTACAGAAACCTTTTGTATAGTTATATTGTACAGTTTATTGATATTCAATAAAGTGGTTAATTTATATATAAAAACCTTTGTTTGGCTCAAGACAGGAGTGGGTGTTCTGCGGGTGTTTTGAAGCACCTTTAGGAAGGGAGGAGAGGCAGAGATTCCTGGCCAGCCTTAAAGCTCGTCCCCTGGAACACGTGGTCACTGGAGGGCCCTTGCTGTGCAGAGGCTTTCTGACAAGGTGGGTGGGCCTGGCGGAGGAGGAGGGGGTCGGGGCCCCTGGAGGCCTCTGCATGGTGGCTTCTTACACCGCTTGTTGACGTTTACCCTGCCGGGGGTACAGAGCTGGCTTCCTGGGTCTTATCTAGGCAGGCCGGGTGCCTGTGCCCCAGCTCTGCGGGTCTTTCCGGGAGGGACTGGCTGCTTCTCCCCATGAGAGGGTGGAATGCAGTGAGCAAGAAGGACAGAGGATGTCCTTCCTGTTTCCAAGGCTCTGGGCCCCGCTCCAGCCTCCCTGTCGGACCCACACCTCTGTCTGGCCACTGGGTACCAAATGGCCTTTGATGCAAGGAAATTGGCTGGCTGGAGCCAGGAGGGTGAGAAGCCAGGCCAAAGGGTAGGGGTCATTCAGCTTCCTGCTCCAGGACCGGACGGGAAGACGGTCAGCTTGCATCCCGGGCTGGGATAATCCACTCCACTGGCCATCCGTCCTGGTGACCTCACCTCTGGGGCCCTCATGGGGCTGGGAGAAAATGGCCTTTTTTGAGCACAAAAGGTGCAGAGGTGCCAGTTTCCTGCTGAGCTGAGCAGGCCCAGGCTCCGGCCCTCCAAGTCCCAGCGTCAGGCGGGGCGGGAGCCTCGTGTTCCAAAGGAGAGATGATTCTTTCTTCTAAACAGGAAATGGTGACCCGCAGGCCGGGAGCAGCCCTTAATGACTTGCAGCTTTCCTCCCAAAGAAAAAAAAGTTCTCTAACAATCGCCAAATTGTAGCTGGCCTCCCTGAAGGGAAGTTAGGGAGTTGTGGGGGAGGGGGCTGGGCACCAGCTTGCTGCAGCCCTACTGTGGATGGAGCCCCTGGGCTGCCATTTTCATCCACCCCACAGAAGGTGCTGGCACTGATGCCGGGTGAGTAAGTGACAGTGACTTCACACATACCTGGTGGGAAAGGCTCTTGGCCACAGGCCAGCAGCCTGATGTTCCTGTCAGCCTGGAGTCAGGTGTCTCTCGGTAACGAGCGGGAATCTCCCCTTTGATCCCCCAGTTGCTGTCTCTACAAAGTGGGGTGACTAGTGCCTGTAAGGGGTGTTGATAGTGTCGGCTTGGTGAGCCCTGTGTGTGCTGAGCCCATATCTAGGGCCTGGAATGACAGGTGAGAGCTGTGGGTATGTGAACTGGTGGAGGAGACAGAAAGAAGTGATTGAGAAACCGCTTTTCTTCCGTCATGGAATTAGTACAGTGCTAGGGAGTCACAGGGTAGGAGGGTCCTTGCATTAGGCCCAGATAGAGCCAGATGGAGACTGGACACCCCAGCTGAAACTCGAAGCAGAAAGATCCAGTCTCCAAGGGAGCAGCTAGAGCAAAAGCTTTACGGCTGAAAAGAGCTTGTCCGAACTGAGGAAGTCCAGAGGGTAGAGGGCCTGGGGTTGAGGGGCGGGGCAGGGTGGGGCAGGCCAGCAGGCCAGGTGCTGCAGAGTTGGTGGCCAGTGAGGAGTCAGGATTTGAGTCCAGCCCATATTGGTGGTGACCTTGGGAATGGATGTTAGATTTAGGTATTGAGGAGCCGGGCACCCCCCCAGTACAGGTGAGAGTAATTTGGGGTCATTAAAAGGGATGTTGGACCTGGACGGGGGTGGGGAGCCCTATGGGGCTGGGAAAGGAACCAGAACCTTCCTCCCCTCTGATATGAGGCCTGCTGTGGAGCAACCCCGCTCGGCTTGGTCGTGTTGCTAAGAGGAAAAATAACACGCAGGACTCACTCCCTTTTGTGGGGAGAAGAGAGGTGGCAATGAGCACATTATTCATGCTTGTATTTGCATACAGAATCTGGAGGACTTGCAGTAAACAAATACAAACTCTTCTGGGTTGGAGGAGGAGGGATGGGGTGGATGGAGACAGGTGGAAGGCTTAGGAGCTGCAGAATTTTAGCTTTAAAAACCATTTTTTCTTAAATTTTGAAATAATATCGCCCTGACAGGCCAGTACCATAAACCGCCATCCTCCCAGATTCTCCCAAATGTTAGCATCTTATCCTGGTCGTGCCTTCTCCCACTATGCATCCAACATCCACAGACCCACGCGGTATTTCTTAAGGACGAGCACTGGGAATCGAGGCAAGGTGGCAGCGCGTGTGGGGTCCAGTCCTGCTCGCTCTGGCGGCGCCACAGCTCCGGGCCCCTGGGGTGAGCCCAGGAAGGTCAGGGACCTCCTCAGCTGGGACCACGCGTGTAATTGTTTTTGTATGGGGAGACAGCTTTTTTTTTTTTTTTAAAGATTTATTTACTTGTGCATACAGAACTGGGGTGTAGGTCAGAGGCTCAGGGGCGGCGAGAGGCTTCACCAGAGACAGAGTGGGGAACAGAACAGGCAGGTCGACAAAGTACACTGCTGAGGGGAGCAGCGGGCGGGTCAGGAGAGGTCTGCCGCGCCATGGGGTCACCTCCCGGGCAGGCGGGAATTGAACTCATGCGGAAGGGGCCTTAGCTTCTGAGTGCAGTGCTTTAACCCGCTGCGCCCCCAGGGAGGGCCAGCTTTTTTTTTAATTGTGGTGATGTAGGCATTTTTGAAAAGAACACCCAGCTTTTTTGTTGTGAGTGCCCCATTTAAGACATTCCTGATGTTTCTCCATGATTAAACTCAATGGCATGTTTCTGGTGGAAGCACAGAGTGGGGCCGTGGGGCCCGGGGGCCTGGAGGTCGGCTGTTCCCACCACTGCGACCTTGGTCACCTGGTCAGGCAGGACCTGCGGGTCTCCTCTGGATAGAGCGCCCCTTCTCCTTTTGTGCTGAGTCCGTATCTTGTGGGGAGACGTTCCCAGACCGTGTGAATATCCCGTTAACCTCAAGCTTCCACCCACACGTTCGAGCCTGCACCAGTGACTTTGGCCTAAATTAGTGACCATGACGGTGGCCACCAACGGCAGTTGGAGCTCCCGCTTCCCTCCCGCATCTACTGGTTGGCTTTCTCCTGTCGGGAAGAGCTTGCCTTGCTCTGTCCAGGCAGCAGCTCAGGCGGGGATGGGAGACACTGAGCTGTTAGAGCCCGTGCTGGGTTTTTCCAGGGAACCCAGGGAATAGATTGGCTGTAGAGCTGGTCCTGCAGAAGTGTCCAGGTGGACAGGCCCAGGGCCAGGGCTCGTCCGGGCCCTCTCCGTGAGCACCCACAGCTCATGGGTGCGCCTGGAGCTGGGTAGGGGCATGCTGGTGGGCTCTGTCCCCCTCGCTCCTCTTTGGATTCAAATTGTCAGTTTCATAAGTATTACCAGAAATTGTTTTATTGTTTGTTAAAAAAAAAAAAGCGGCCCTCATGTACTGTTGGTAGGAATGGAAATTGGTTCAACCTCTGAAAAATAGTATGCAAGTTCCTCCAAAAAATTAAGAATAGGACTCCCACCTCCACTTCTAGGTATCTCCCTAAAATCTTACTAAGTTGAAACACAACAGGTCCCCCTGTTAGCTGTGGCATTGTTCACTACAGGCAAGACAGGGAAACAACCTAAATGCCCACGGGTGGATGAGGGATAAAGATGTGATGTGTGCACAATGGAATACTACTCTGCCATAAAAAGGTGAAACCTTGCCACTTGAAACTGCGTGGATGGGAGTGGAGGGGACGACGTAAAGAGCAACTTGACACGAACCTACTTCAGGGACAAAATGTTTGATGAAGGTGGAATGCAAAAAAAAAAAAGCAAACAATCAAACAAAACATTTACTCTTAGACTCTGGCAGCAAAATGGTAATCACCAGAAAGAAGGGGTGAGATGTGGGAGGAAACTAGGACTTGGGGGCAATGGGGTGAGGGTGACAGCAGAACCCACAACTGAGGTGTGAAGCGAAGCAAATCACAAAGGAGACGGGGTGCGAGAGACAGCCTGTGCCGCACCAGCAGTCTGGCCTCGTGCCCCTCCCGGGCCTAAACTTAGTTTATATCTTTCGGCTTTTGAAAAAGAAACAGCAAGATGCAACGTGGTTTTGCCTCTTACTCACAGGAGAATCCCCCCGTTGTCCGGCCACACCCCCTCTGCCTCCTGCCCTCCCCAGCCTCTTCACACCAGGCCACCACAGGGCCTTTGCGGCTGTCTGCTGCCATCTGAGCCTCCAGAGAATCCAGGGCTGAGCTCCCCACCATCCCTCTCCCCTCCGCATTCCAGCCCCTCCCCGGTTGTGTTTTTTCTTTATAGTCCTTGTCACCATCTGACAACTATGTATTTCACTATTCACAGTTTCTCTGCTGTCTGTCTCCCACCAGAATGCCAGCTTCACGTGGGTGGATTTGTCTGCCTAGTTCTCTGGCAGATCCCGCCCAGGACGCTCTTTTCTGGAGCACTTAGCCAGCCTTCTGGAAACCCCACACAGCCTTCTCCAGCGAGGGAGGCAACTGGAGGCTGAGCAGAGAGGAAGGTAGGAGGTGGGAGGTAGCCAGGGGCACCCAGCAAAGTGGGAGTCTCCCGTGTGGTTTCCGCAGCCCGGGAGAAGCTTCCAGAGAGGAGGTCCGGGAAGGCAGGGCCACCCACCTCCACTCTGCATCCTGGGCCTTGGCCCTGAGGTGGAGATGCACAGTGGGGCCAAATATTAATTTTCCAGGGCTGCCACACACAAAAAAATTACCATGAATTGGATGATTTAAAACATCAGAACTTTATTCTCTCACAGTCTGGAGGCCAGAAGCTGACACCAAGCATCACTGGGTGTGTCCCCCGAAGGCACAAAGAGGACAATGCTCTTCTGGCTTCTGGTGGCCCGTCACTGGTTGGGCCTGGAGCTGCTCGGCCCCAGGCTCTGCCCCCAT